GATGTTTCAGATCCGTTGCAAGTACTGATTGGAGGCATTTTAGGTGGCCGCTTAGAGGAGATTGCACTATGGTCATAACTACTCACCTCTTGTAGTGATTTTTGTGTTGCTTGAAGCAGGCTACCTTAGGGAAGCGTTTACTTCTTGATAAATAACCCTGCAATTCAATTTTGCATAGGATCCATTACTGCCAGTGGCAGCTCAGGAGCAGCTTCAAACTCAGGTGGAGGTAGTGGAGGAAGTATTCTTATCCACACGCGCGTTCTGGAAGGTTCTGGAGTCATATCAGTTAATGGTGGAAATGGTAATGCCGCCGGTGGGGGTGGTGGAGGGGGTAGAATGGCTATTTATTGGCAAGACAGGGAGTGGTGGTACGGTGGGCTGAACGCATTTGGTGGCAGGTCTACGCAAGGTGGAAACGGAGGGCCTGGTACGGTTTATCTTAAGGTAAGACGACTTCTAAGGAAGCTTAAGCAAAAGCGTTTTTGAGCGAAGGACGTCAACTGGAAGTGCGGTATTTTCCCTCTTAATATGCCTAGACGATATAAAATTTGTATTGCTTAGCTTCTTTTCTCTTATAGAGACGATTTGACTGAAAATTTTGGCAAAACCAGTGTCCAAAAATGAAAAAAAAAGGCCCGTTCCGTTTGACGTTCGCCGCTCAAAAACGTTGATTCTTCAATAAGCTCCCTATTCAAATTAAAGGGGCTGTATCACGAAATTATACAGAAGTCAAACAGTGGGAGCTGCCAAAAAAACAGAGTGAACCATAAAAATTACCGCTCAAAACATGACACGAAACCATAGATAACACACCAATACAAAAGGAGGCACATATAGACAAACGTAAGAAAATTAAAACGGATTGCAATAGTGGGTTTTGAAAACAAACCAGTTTTTCAAAGTTCGTTTTTCCGGTTTATAACGTTTGATATAATTCGTGGTAGACATGTTTGTTTTACACGAAGCTAAGAATTTATCATTTACAAGTAATCTCTCAAGTTCAATAGCGAATAAGGATTAACCCAATCAACTTTCCAGCCGTGACACGCCCACTGAGATTATACTTGGAATCGATCGTAATGTTAAAAAGCAGCGTCTAAAAGTAAGCAAGATAAATTTTATTTGCTTTTGATTCTGCATTTTTCTTTTGGTCATATTATGATGTAAGAGTCAGTTTTCAGTTTTTCGTGCAATATTAAGGCCTGTTTCAAACGTCGTGCTACTGCCGTGCTAACCTGGCTCGACTGTACCTCGACTGTAGCACGACACTAGCACGACTCGGTTTCAGACGTCGAGTTTAATTCATTCGAATAGAACGGCTGTTGCCGAAAAAACAAAAAACAAAAATAGAGAAACGGTTTACCAAACTTTTAAATGTATTCTAATATATTTATAATATATGAATTGAGTTCGGCACGGCAGTAACACGACGTTTGAAACGGGCGTAACCGGCTATTAAAAGCCTGGAGGACGATGATTTCTGTGCGTTTCAATGTTCACCTTGATCTTACTAAACACTTTAATATATTTTGTATATTTAAAATCCATACAGGACACCCAACATGGTGTGAACAACAGGACCCTTATCTTTGATAATAATAATCTGAGTCCACGATCCATGGAAATAGCAGATTTTTCTTCGCCTGAAACTGACAGTGGAAGGGCGTGGCTGCAGCCTATCGGTCAGGAGTATGAAGTGGAAGAGGTGCATCTTCTGAGGAATGCTCATTTGGCTTTGCATCCTAACATAACAAGGTTTGTCTTTATTAAATTTTTACTCTTTTACACCTGTGCCTTAGTACGAAATATCAGTTTCTGCCCACAGTTTCTTCGTTCGGAACAGCGCAGTTGCCTTTATTTCTTAGGCTCAGAGGTCTTCGGATCTCTACATTTTTTTTAGAGCACAGGCTTTTTCTTATTTTCCTTTCCTTTCTCATTTTACTCTACAGACCTCATGGACTAAAAGTGTACAGCTTTGTAGGAGACGGAACGGGTGTTATTCACGTGGGACCAAATCAAATCGCTATAAGTCAGATGGCAGATCATGAGTTGTTTGCAGTGAATGTGTTTGTTCACAAGGATGGTCACTTTCACCTGCCGCCTACATTTTCATGTTACGGAATCCAAATAACTACAAGGTAAGTCGATCATGTGAATGCAGCGTTGCCAATGCCAGTCGGCTATCAAATTATCAGAACTATGTCCAATTGAAAAATGCCAATGTCCGACAAAATCTCAAACGCAGTCGGACATGATGACGGATAGACGATAGACTATGATAGACTATTATTTTGAAGCCGAAGATGTGCATGCGCGAGTTTAACACCACCGATTATTACAGTGCAGAAAACATTGTCTCTGGTGGGGACCAGTTTTTTTGTAGCCCTCTGAATATT